GCATGGGCTCGGCCCAACTACATCTCTATACAATCCTCTAACTCGATATATCATATCAAAATTTGTATGACAAGGGCTCGGCCCAACTACGTTTCCATACCAACCATAACTTCGTGGCAAGGGCTCGGCCCAACTACGTTTCCACGGAGGTCACATATACATGGCAAGGGCTCGGCCCAACTACGTTTCCATGCTAATCATATTACATGGCATGGGCTCGGCCCAACTACATCTCCATGTCATCCTAGAGTCCAACTCTAATCATTTTCATAATCAAATTCTCAAGCAAGTCCTATGCCTAGAATCAATTTCCGGAGGTGGCCTTTAGGCCTACCCCTATCACATCTTAGTGTTCATACCATTCCTACTTAAGTATCTCTTGAGACTACTTAAGGCATATCTATTCACAATCCTACCTCTTAGGATTTGTTTCATCAATTATTTATATTAGTTCCCCGACTAGTTATTTTGATACTAATTGGATAATCTTAGAACATGTCAAGTTCCTATTTCCCAATTGGCATTTCATTTCCATTGATTTCTCAACCCAAGTATAGTTTGATCTCAATATCAAAAATATCACTTTAATCCATTCATGAATTTCATACATGAAGTAAAGTATATTTTATCACAATGTCATCTTAGTAATTCCATTAACATGCCATTCCATTCATTTCACATAATCATACACAATTATTCTAAATTGGTATATCATGCTTCACTTACTCATATTCATATTATTTTCATTTAGACATTATTAATCATTAATAGTCCATGAAAATCTCATCTAATTACTTTAGGCATTCTTATGAAATTAACTCACTAATTATAAGCAATATAGTCAGCCATCCTCACCTCGTGATGTGCTAAAATAGTTGCCTTTGTTAAGCCCCTCGATCAATCCCCATTCTAGGCCGATTGAAAGTGAAAAGCTGGATTTCTGGGCCAAAGCCGGGCGGCTTTCACGAAAGCCGGGCGACTTTCGTAGTCTGCAACTACGAACAGCTCCCTATATGTGGCGGTTTCCGGCGATTTCGACTCCTATCGATTCACCAACTCTTCTAAGTTAATTAACACCACTTTATTACAATATTCTACACTTTTAAACGTGTAGAACTCATGGTTTAATCCACCATATGATTTCTCAAAAATCATACACAAAAAAACTAGTTACAAGATTGTTTGTTGAGTTCTTACCTCAAGAACAACCCTCTTCTCTTTGGATTCTCTTCCTTGCTGCTTGCACTAGGAGAGGAGACTTCCCTGGAGCTTCTCTCTCTGCCTTGGTCGAGTGGATGGTGTCAAATGGAAGGGGGGAGGTATCTATCCTCACCCAAGCCAAAAATAATGAAGAGGTATGGCCAAGGGAGTGGTTGATTGTCTCCAGCCATCCTTTCATGCACAGCCCATATTTATTTGACTCACTCAGCTCCCAATGTGTCAATTAGATCACACAAAATCGTGGGGTGGCCCCCACTCATGTGGGAGGTCATCCCATTACGTCCCGGTGTGTATAATTGGCCCCGAAAGTTGTATTTCTCGGACTGCTTTAGTCATTTTTTATTTTATCGGGCCGGATAAAATATATCACGCGTTCCCAACAATTTTGGGCCTTTAGAATAGATGTACTATCCCCAACATTAATTTAGGAGTCTCCGAAACTCATTTCGGGCTGTTATCCGCTAAATTACCAATACCGGTAATTGGGCCCCGTTTGACCAACCGGTCAACTCTATGCCTTTCTTATGGCCCAAATAAAATATCCACCACCATATAGGTGTCATCTAGACCAAGATGAATATAATATGTGGTTCAGGAATTATCGGGCGGGCCCCCGGTCCGGGCGTGGGCCCCACATGCAATATACTATTCACGTAAAAGAAATAATAAAATTTACAATTACGCAAATTCATAAATCATCCTTCAAGGTTTATTACATAATTTACTAAAAGTAAATATGCTTGGGGACGGTGCTACACTAAAAGCCTAAAGAAGTTCAAATAGGACGGAATTAAAATCATATATTAATTCCTATGATCACATCTAGTTAACTAAATAATATGGACTTTTAATTATTTAGCTCCCACTATTTTTACATGCTCTTTGACCCCAATAAAAGGAACATGAAATGTTTTACAATCATAGTGGCCAAAATCCTCATTCATACTATTACAGTCCCAGCTTGGACTGATCACTGCAATAATATAACGGGTAGGTCCCTAGACCAATTGCATCCAAGCAACTTTTGGTTGATCAATTTTAAATTGATCGACATCCCTAAATTAACACTGACGCTTGGGCGACTCGAGCTAATTTAAGTAAGTCAAAACCATCACACGATCACAAACATATGTATCTATAAATTAGTTCTATATTTTGTCGAATGGAATAAACACTTGGGTGAAATATTCTTCAACGAAAAAATATTTCTACTAATTTAATTATGATGGGTGATGTCGTTATCCTAGATAAGACTTAAATTTTAATTTATGGGGAACATTTAGCGGGGTATTAAATTACTCTATTTAATCAAGATGCTAAAACATATTATCAAATAATATATTAACGAGATCTAACTCAGACAGATAATTTAAAGCATGCAATATAAATCTAATTTATAAACAGATACAAAAGTCAAACAAAAACGTGCTTTAAAAAAAATACAATAACACGTTTAAATTAAAATTTATCTAAAAGATACTCGTAATTAATTTAATTGTTATTAGAATTCTAATTAAAGCCGTCTTAGAGTCTCCGGTCTCCACTAAGTTTTTTATTATTTTTACTTGAGCGGAATAAAGTTGCTGTCCCATTTAACTTACAATTTCTAAAATTTTGCAACAAGACCTTAGGTTAAATCTAATTCACCAAAAAAAACAAGATGCAAAGCTATACATGAATTACGATAGTAATTCATAAGCAAGATTTCAATTTTCTTAAATCCAATTCTAAAACATGATCATAACCAAGAATATATGCTGCTATACATGAATTACGATAGTATCTAATGTCTTATTAATCAAGCATATGTCAGATCTTGAAAACAGTACTGACAAATTCCATTATCTTGATCTCAACGATCAATTGCAATATCACTTTCGAAAACTAATATTACGTCAAAATATATTTTCAAAAATTTACTCACGAAAATACTAATCAAAATTCGTGTAATGTCATTTGAATCAGTTTGGCTCTGATACCACTTTTAGGAAATTGATGTAACGTACCTCGAAAGTACGACAGCGGAAGTTTAAAATTTTTCCAAACAGATCTTTCCTGATTATGACAAAATAACGAATATGATAATAATAACAGATCTGAGTTAGAACTTACAGATCTTCCAGCCTAGCGGTGATAATCCTTGACCTTTGGTATCCACGTGATTTCTCCTTCCCGAAAGAACGGTTAGATCTCCCTAAGAGAAAGGCTAGGAAATCTCTTCGCGAGGAAATAAACTGGTAATACTGAATCTGAAAACTTGTCTCTAATTATGAAGGAGGTGGATGTATTTATACTAGTTCTAAACTAGTTTCCGAATCACAATGAAAGTCTTTCTAATTAATGAGTTCTAATCCTGCTAGGACCAATACTCCTAATTAATTAAATAAGTAGATAAAAAAACAAAATATTAATAATAATAATTGAGATGTGGCTGCACGCCACTTTCTAATTATTATATATTAATATTTATTTTATTTACTTTTCTTTTAATTCCAAATTACAAAAGAAAATATCTACTTTATTTAATAATAAATACATCTTATTTAAGTATGATAAATCTAATTTATCTTACTTAATTAATTCTATCAAATAGAACTCTCCTTCAGTTTCATGAATTAAATATGTTTAATCTAATTAATATTTAATTCATTTTCAGTATTACGAATTAAATATTATTTAATTCAATTAATAATATTTAATTCCTTCTAACAATTCAATCAGAATGTATAATCACTTGTTGTGTGACCCATAGGGCCTTATATATCAGGCACTAATCAAATTAAGGTCTTAGCGAATCCCTAGACAATTCTCCAGACAAACTTAATATATAAGGACGTTTGCGAGGACTATACAAACTCCCTGTAATATAGAGCTCATAGTGATACGGTCCTTTCATTCAGCGAACATTCAACTAAGTCTAGAACATGATATAGTGTCTATCCCAATAACTCAGTCTCTGTCTCTCAATCTTTCTAGATGATCCATAACGATCATATTCGATATCCAAAACGAATATATCTTTGCATTGGCCAATGACTTTATGATCCATCTAGATATGAGAAGTAGAATGTTCTCTCTTAATCTATTATGAGGAATGAATCCTTTCTTGGCTCAACTACTACTCCATGTGCTTCGTGATGCACCCAACACATGCCGTATCTACCCTGATTGGAGTGCAAGCGTTGGTCATGGTCAAAGTACATCACTCCGCACATGTAGTACGTATTGACCTCAAGTCGGAGGACTATTACACTACTCTATACGCCGATAATCCCATAGACACATGAATAGAACTTATCAAATGGTTTCTCGGTGGGTATGCCAATATTCTCTAGAATATCTATGTGACCATCATGAATTACAGGAACTCATAGTCGTGAGATCAACTATACTTTCTAAAAGTATGATGCTGTCCACATACCAATCTTATCGCATATCATCAATATCCCATTCTTGATGATCATTGATTGGGGCTATTTTAGGACCTTATGTTATATCATATAAGCTTCCACTTACTTATTGACAACATAAATCCAAGGGAACACAATTATGAATAAAACATTGACAATCGAAAACAATCATTCATAAAGTGTAATACCGTGTATATATCAAATATAAAAACTAAATGTGATCAAGTACATATGTCTTTAAAAAATGATTGTCGCTAGGACATATATACTAACACACCGTCAATATATTCATCCAACAAAGTTTTTTTGATTAAAACTTTACTTTTTATTATCACACATCAATACTTAAAATTATTTTTTACAAATAATCGTGATTTTAAAAGTCAAACATTCTGATGTAAAAATAAATAAATTTGGAGTATATTTTTTTGTTAAGTTTGAAGTATTTTTTTAAATAAATTTGAGCTACGAAAATAATAATAATCATGAGATCTAAATTTTAACACTTCAATCTGTTTAAGAAAAAACTGGATCTGAAAAGCTTCGATAGTCAACATTTCATATATATTCTTAAAATTTGTATATATGCAATATTGGTATCATATGAAAGGTTATAAAAAGTTATGAATTTTGATATATTTTTTACAAAAATTGAAATACTAACAAAAAAGTTATAACATATTAAAAAAATTGGGATTTAATATTAAACGGGACCCAGCTGATTCCGCCAAAAGTGAGTTAACTCCTCCTGGCACCACGTCACAAAATAAATATAGGATTCGTTGTTAAATAAATTGTTTTAATTTTCGTACTATCATAAGTAAACACAAGTAAGGAAGATATTAGAGCAAACATACAATTACCTAAAACTCCATCATTTTCCATTTCCTTGAAAACTTGAGATTGGTATATCCCAAATGTCTCTCTTATGCTCAATGGAAGTTTGTTGATATCTTGATTCAAAATTCGTCCTTGTTCTTGTCTCCTTTGAGCTTTCTCCTTTAACTTTGAGCATTCTCCTTTAACTTCTGATCATTCTCTTTTAACTGTTGAATTTTCTCCTTCAATTTCTGAGCATTCTCTTTTAGCTCGATCTCTTTTTTCATTATCTTTTCACGCAAGTCAAAGTCTTTCAAGTCTTTTTCCCTCTTCATCTTAAGCTCTTTTTCACCGACACTAATTTGTTTTTCTAAAGTAGTCTATAACTTATTCAAAAAATCAACAACACCTTTTTCATCATTCAACTTCCTCTTTTTCTCTTTGGTACGTTTTCTTCCTTGAGGACGTTCAATGTCACATCCTTTACCATCACCCGTACCATCTAGATTGATGAAATCGTGTTCTTCATTAGCAGAACTCATCGGTGGAGGTTGAACTCGGGTATCACTGCTTGTGTTGACAACTTTTTGCTTGGATATATCTTTGGTTCTAGAAACCTCTTTTGTACACCATTTGGGATTCATTTTCATGATCTCCCAAGAATGTTCATACTTGAATGATTGACCACCATTAATGTCCTCATACATGCGCATTGCTTCTTGCCTCTACAAAATAAATTAAGATAACGGAAATGTGGTTGATACACATATAATAAGATAATAGTGCACGTTTGCTCCCCTATCATTCCTCACATCTTTTGATGTGCATGACATTTCTCTAAATGTTTTGCCACTGCATTGAGATTGTTTCAAATGAAAACCACTCTCTCAAAAAAAAGTCAATTCCACATTACATCTAAATGCAACCTCTGTAAGTGTTTGACGCATATTAGTTTGAACACATCTATGTATTTATGATATTAATGTTTGCCCCGATGATAATAAAAATAAGATAATAAAAATGTGATAATCAAATATAAAACAAACTTGAACATGTATTAGGAGAAACTGATTACTATAAAAAATATAAAGTAGTAGAAAGTACCACATCTTCTTGACTTGCCCCACTCTTTGGATGCCTTTGTAATCGTTCATATAAAGCATGAAACTTGTTCACTGCAGCTAAGATTTTATTCCAACGACATTGTAAGGCATTTATTGTGCAAGACTCATCATAGGTTCCCATACTCTCCCTCCAAATTTGTAAGATGCGCTACCGCATATTAGATTTTTTTTATTGCTACGTACATCAGCATCAACCGATATATATAACCATGCATTTGTTAGTGCAACATCTTCATCTTTGCTCCAATTTTTGCTACTTGCAATTGTTTGAGGGACACTTGTATTTGGTAGAACCTTGTTACTTTTTCCTGATCCTATACTTGTAGTTGCATTAGTACCATGATTCTCTAAAGGAATATTAGAAGGGTGTAGCAAATCTAGAAAAGGGAATCCATATCCAAAGAGTGGATGAGAATGAGAAGGAAATGGAGAATTCATCATAAAATTAGGATGAAAAGTCACGTTTGAAGGACCAAATTGGTTAGATGTAGGCATTGTGGGTTGTGAGTTGATCTGCGAAGCATTACTGTACTGGGAATTCATACCGCTCACTTCAGTATCTTTTTCGGGATGTCCATGGCATGAAAATGGCGGCGATGCTGAGTCCATCTATACAAAAATCAATATTTGGTTTAAGATAAGTTATCTTAGCTACCGTTAGCTGAAAATACCTCTATTAAGAGAATAAAGTACTCTTTGATACTGTAATGTGGAAATACAACAATGAATACAGACTCAACATATATAAAGAGAAGAACTAGGTCATTCAGATAAAACTTTGATCCAACTAAATTGGATCTGGCTAAAATTCATATATGTAGTCAATCATATAGAATCTTGTATTCATACTCCTTATCCACTCAAATTGAATGGAATAAACGTAAATATTTGTACTGTACACTCAAACTTAAGCAAAATTAAATAAAATGTTGGAAATTAAAAGAAAAATAGTTGAGGATTTAGACGAAGAATAAAGAATGCTTGTAAGTGATGATCGTAGGAATACTTATATTCATATTAATGCAAAGTAGACTTTTAAACTTTGACAGTAAATATATAGCCAAAATCTGAAGCAATATTGTGATTACAACCGGAAAGAAAAAATGAGAAGGGCATATTATACACCCTTTAAACTATGATAATGATTATACAGCCAATTAGCCATTAAAATATAACATCAGAACCAATACTTCATTTAGAAGTGGAACTATAAGAACACAAATCAAATACAGAAAATTTAAATCCAAAGCATTAATTTGAGAAAGGTGTTGTCAAAACTGATTAGGTTTAACATTACGATTAGGTTTAACATTACTGAAAAATAGATGTAGTTGATTAGGTTTAAAATAGATGTAGTTGATTTTATATTCTTAATATATAGCGGCTGCTCCCTTCGTTTCATCACGCTGTATGTACTTGAATTTCAAAGACAAATTGATTAAAAAATACCTTGAGTGTTGCCACTTTGAAGAAGATGCCAAGGAAGTCTTGGAATTTCTATTGGCTTCGATTGATAAACTGGAATTTGTTCTTGGGAGCTTTTCTTGTTCCAAATAATTACAGTTTCCCGGAAGAATTTTTCACAGTTACCGCCAAAATATTTGGTGAAAAAAAAATCTTGCCGCTGAGTTGGATTGTCTAACATCCCTTCTGAAACTAGAAAGTGGTCGACAATGTGGACAATTTTTCACTCCAACTCAGTACGATGAAAAATACTGATAGTTGCATTGGGGAGTATGTTTTAACCCCACTATCTGTTTTGCTGGCATGGCAATGCATTTTTTTAATCGAAGTTCCTATTAGAGATGATCTAATGTTTTTTCTCTCTATTTGTTTCTCATTCGTTCAGCAGAATGCAATGGGGTGGAGTGGATAGCGCTACCTAATTCCCACGCAGTGGGTGCCATGAATCCACTATAGCACTTGCCAATACAATGGGTTGCAATTTTTTGGGGGTGAATAGCTTAGGAATGGCCTTTTCACCCCTGGGTTGCAAGCAGCCTAACAATGTTATTGCGAAGTATTTTGTTTAGGGTGTTAGTAATGATTGGAATTAGTTGTTACTTGTCTTTTCACAAAATGCGTGAAGTTGATCTTTTCTTTCTTTTTTGTCCTATGTGATTGTTAGTTCCAAAATGCACATAATGTTGATCCAAATAAAGGTAAGATATGGATGAAAAAGTAACCTAATACACACTTATCATTGTTTTTGATGGCTTGAAACTTATTTCTTCATTTATTTTGTTCCTCTATCAATTACGATCTCTTATACTACATCCGTTCCACAACAAAATTCTCATTTTGACTTTTAAGGACTTGTAGGAGAAGTTTAACCCTAAATGTCTAAAAATATACTTTTTTTGAAAGGAAATCGGCTAAATTGAAATCATTAGTTTCATGATCGTTACATCAAATAAAGATAATTCATACCTAGCAGCAACTACATCCATCAATTAGGACTGTACGCCATATGATTAGACATATAATTGATCACCCCTGAAAGAGTAACACGAATCCCTAATCACGAAGTGCACTTGAGAGAGCTATCACTGGTCTTAAAGATGCGTATACTTCTAACGACATAAAAATAAGCTAAATTTTCAATCACCCCGACAAACCTAGCAACGTAGACTTTAACAAGAATCCAAGCAACAAAATTAAACACATAACTAAAGTAAGCCAAGAGAAAAGATAACTTCCAATAAGAGCTCCACACAGTCCCGTTGTAGCAGCATCCTTGAAACATCTTCTTCCAAACCCTAACCACTTGTTCACTCCCAGGCTTCGGTTCGGGAGGGGGACACAAATTACCACCCATAACACCTAGAAAAAGCCAAAAGCCATCTCCGATGCTCCCCCTTTATCATGCTTTCGCACTAGCCATACCTACGACCATATAGTTATAGTTTCCACGAAAAAGTGATTTGTGTAGCCCCCATACTACTACTCCAGCCGCTTCCCATGTCGCTCCAATCTACCGGAGCCTCGTCGGCAAAAACCACATCGGTAAGAGACCACCACGAATCTTTTGCTGAAGCTCTCCAATCAAATATCACCGGTAAACCAAAAGCTATCTCTTACAACCCTTGACTCACCTGATTTGCCGCTGCTCCTTCAAGCCAAAGGAGAAGAGCGATCGGCGCACACCAAACCTTAGGACGAAAATCGCCCAACTTTACTGCTTCTTTCTGATCGAAAGCACCAAACTGCCGGACACTAGCAGACACATCCACAGCCGGAAAAAAAAACCTAGAATGCTAAGGATTGGCCGCAACTTTCTTCTTCTAGCAATCTTTAATACTTATATAAAATCTATATAATAAATTAACATTTGAATAATATATATTGCAATGAAATATATGAAATTATTCTATGCGATAGTGTAATATAATTTTCTATTAATTAACTATAAAGATTTATAAAGTTTGATTCAAAAAGTCAAACTAGGAATTAAATTATGGGACGAAAATAGTATCTCTAAAAAGTCTAGAAATTAGTCATGTTTCATTTGTTTAGTTTGATTATTTAATATTTAGAATCATACAAATATATTGAAAAAATGTCACACACAATTCAAAAAGACTTAACAATCACTATTTGAAATTGGTCATAAATAGCAATTGAGATACCTAACATACGATTTCTTTGATATGAGAGCATTCAAGTAGCTACCAAATCTTTGAAATAGTAAATTTTAATTAGAAATTTATGGGAAAATTCTATTCAAATCAACACAATTGCTAATCATAACAACAAAATTTAAACTAAACAATGATATATCTTTTAAATATTTATTTTACCATTCCACTTAAATGAACCCTATATGCATACGAAAGATGAAGGGCCACACTTGGCTTGGGTCTTGGGATGGTCGTTTGAGCAAACTTCTTCATCTTCCAGTGATATCTGCTTAATTAATGTTTAAAAGATGGGCATGTAATATGGGATGCAGCTGGATTAAATTAACATATCAATTAACCAAGTGAAATGACATTTTGACTTTCCTCGTAAAACAGAGATTTACAAGAAAAGTATTCCTTATATGTACAACCACAAAACTAATTAACAAGAAGCACAAAGACTATAATGTATCTATTGAAATAAGAAGAAAAAAAATTAAGTATGTGTCAAGTTAGATTCCCTAATTTGGTGGGTTGATTGAGATCATCAATAGATCATAAGGATCTCCAACAAGAACAAAGGTAACAATGAACCTTCTTCTTCTTCTTTGACGACCATAATAGGTAACAATAGATTCCTAATATATATTCTGCATTGAGTGACATGTTGTAATATGTGAAAGAGTTCTTTGAGTTGTTTTGATACTGTCAATTGTATTATATCATAAGAGGGTAAATTTGATATTTGAATTACTTTCATTTATTAAAAATTAATTTTAGAGAATGTGAATAGAAATTTTGTGAATAGAATTCCCCAAATTTGTGTTATGCAAACAACTAAACCATAACAATGAGATAGTGCATCAGACACAAGCAAAGCAGGAAAAAAACAAAAAAAAACATGTCAAGTTTACATTAATAAAACCAACTACCACATGCTTCTTGAACAAATATTCACAAACTTATTAACCATGAAAAATTAAAGATAGTTTATTTATACTCTCACGTATCATATTGTTTCAGTCATTAAGTAAAGAGGCTTTTCTTAGATCAATTGAATGATATACTCTAATCTAAGATATATTTTAATTGACGAAACAATATATGAAAACATCAAGAAAATATTCAATATTCATCTATAAAATTCACGAAGAAAATGTGGCACTCAGAATTGATGTTCAAGGGATGCTATACATGTACAACTTCTATTTTACACACATGCATGTGCATGTAACAAATGTGACATAGTTTGAAATTGATTTTGAAAATTCTTAAATTGCATTCTTCGTAAGTTGAGAGTATTACTTACACCACCAACTTTTTTTTATTGAATATTTCTATTTTTTTTCAATTACTCGCTTCCAAATTAGTAACTATTACGTTTAGAACATGACATGTTCTTTTTAAAGAAATAACATCAAAAATAAAATGTGATATCGTTTACCATGAAAACTTATCTAACCATTTTCATTGAATTTATAGAGATAAATGTGATCAATTAGTCGTCAAGACCCTCTCGTTAAATAATCTCTTCTAATATTTCTGGAATTCTCAAATGTTTGTACTCTTGTTTGTGGAATTTTTCCTATTCTTATTTCACATGTTGTATAGTTTGCAAATGTGTATTACAAGAAATTCTTGAAGATCATATGTTATAATCTTATACTTTTGATGCGTGATTTACTTCAAAGATTAAAAAATTAAATAATATTTAAATTTGGTAGATTATGAAAAAATGATTTTGATAAAGTAATATGTAGAGTTTTCAATGATTTTGGACGAAACTCTATATTACTAGGATGTATATATATGTGATCACATCTTAGAAAGTAAAGTCCTTTATGGTATGAGCGCATAACATAAAGTTATAATACCACGAATATCTTTGATATTGTATCATGTTAGGCTTCCATTTAAATTTCAAAGGAAACAGTTCCAATAATGACTTCATATGAGTTGACGATCAATAAAGTCAAGGTCAGTCGCTTTGTCACGTCGATATCTTCTTGAAAAAACTATTTGGAGTCATGGGTAATTGTATGTATGTTGCTTACGCAAAATTACACCTCATGAAAGCCTCAAAACCGTCATTCAAAACAAAGACGATCCACCGAGTAATGAAACCGTGAACATCATTTACAAAGAAGTGTTTCATAATCTCAAATTTTGAATCACAACAACACTTATATATTACAACTTCTTTTTAAATATTATTCTCATGTATGTCATTTAACTTAAAAATATAACACATGTTTAACGCTGAATGCTGATTATAAAAATTTGGAACAAATTCATGCACCGTGCATTGCACGTGCATTATACTTCCTCCGTCTCTTTTTAGTTGCAACAGTCAACATTTCACGTTTGCCAACGCACAACTTTGTCCGTCATTATATTTAATTCTGTATTAGTAAAAATAAAATAAAAATCAGATTATAAAACTTAGTAATGAGACGAATTTAACAACATTTTTCAAAAAAAAAATCACATATATTAATAAATAAAATGTAGTCAAAGTAAAGTACATGAATATTGTATATATTAAAATGTTGCAATTAATGAGATACAGAGGATAGTACTAGTTATTTTTAAAGAGATAACATCACAAATAAAATGTGGTATCTTTTACCATGAAAACTTATTGATGGGATATTAGGGTCTGGCCCAGTATACCGGTCCAAAATATCCCTGGGACCCAAGAGCAGGGGAAAAGCCCAAAGAGAAACAGGTGGTCCCGAACGGGAGTTCAGTGGATTAAGAGACCTCCGTTCGTCACATCCCGAACGGAGTATAATTAACACTTGGATAATTAGTTCTCTTCCGGATCATTAGCTTAACGGATCTTAATACCGATCGGGGCTTCGCTCAAGTGGCAGGCTGCATTTAATGCTGGAGTATGGAGGTCTCAAGTGGCTTGGAAAGCGGCCAATCATGATAGATCACCCCATACCCCTCACATATCCCCCAACTAGTATAAATAACAACATTTATTCCATTGTAAAGGGTTATCATTTGTTTACTCACTAGCTTATATTACATTCTAGCTCATGTATTAGCTGTTGGACCGTAACTGCCGTTCGACCATTTACTTGTAATCGTAATTACTGCGTTAATACAAGCAAGACTATTTCAGTAAATCAATCAGTTGTAATATTTTTTTATACTCTTTACTGTAGCCACCCTGCCCTAGATCCAAGGTTGGTGATGGGCCTTCGGGTCATTTGGGACTTTAACTCAACATTAGCGCCGTCTGTGGGAAACTAACTAAAAGTTTTCAGAGCAAAACACTATTCTAAGCAGATTTCACATGTCAACATGGTTAGAATCACTTCTGAACACACTCATGATACTTCCAGGGTCCAGGAGGGCAGCAGGTCCTCCAGAACCTGGGGAACAGGAAGCCGCACCATCGGTGAACAGAGCCAGGGATATTACGGGGAATTCACTCACCTGATCCCGGAAGCAGCAAGAAGAAACCCATGACTCATGCGGGGAATGGCGGATGTTATGCGCTGAATGGATGAAACACATGACAAAGGATATACAGTCATTAGACGAGCATGCAGTCATGATCCCGGAGATACTGAATATACTACCCCATCCCCGATCCACAGCATGCAGTCATTAGACGAGCATACTGAGGAAACGGAATCGACCAGAGCCTCGGTACACTCACGAATGGGGCACAGTAATCACAGGAGGGCACATACGCCCAAATACCAACAACGTACTCCTTCTCGGCAAACCCAGTTCACTCACAGAAACGAAGCCCAATTCAGGGAACGAACCACGGTGATAAATCCGGTGGGTCAACGTTTCCAGTATGAAGAAAGAGATGGAGATCGTTTCATCAAGAGACGCCAAGGTGCGACAATACCCCAAACATAAAGGACCTCGGAAAGGACCGGTCTGGTGACTACTCCCCGAACGGCCCAGGATGAGGCCCTGACCGCTTTACAGAGGCAGATTGACGAGCTCACTCGTCAGCAAAATAGGACGCCCCCACCACCCCGTGTGGGGATCACATCTCCCTTCACTAGGGAAATCGTGGAAGCTGAAATTCAGAGGGATTGCAGGCCCCCGATTGGGTTGATCTACAATGGCATTGGGTTTCCTAACGCACACTTGATGACTTACCAAGGAGGGCTCATGCTTTTGGGAGCTTCAAAGGAAGCTATTTGCAGGTTATTCTTCAGCACACTCTGGGGACTGGCTCAGGAGTGGTTCAGCCAATTGCAATCTGGGTCGATCAGGAGCTTTGCTGAACTGTGCACCTTGTTCCTGGCACAGTTTGCTTCCAGTGCCACCCCGAAGTGGCATTTCAGCTACCTCACCAGCGTCCGCCAAAGACCTAAGGAATCTATCAACCAACCTCACAAGGTGGAGGGATAAAATCTTGAAGGTCGAGAACGTGACGGATTGTACAGGGATCACATTGTTTACAAATGCTCTTCAAACCGGGGAGTTATACAAGGATCTGAAGAAAAACCCAAGGACCAGTTATGCTGAGGTTCTAGAACGGGCACAGAAGCATGCGGTTCTCGAGGAGGAGATCACGATCAGAGACAGAATGACACCACATGCATACTTAAGGTTGGCCGATCGGTTGGGTCCTATCCCAGCAGCCGCGAATATTTCAAAACAAACCCGGTTTACCCCGCTTGTTCTCTCCATTGCAACCATCTTCCAGAACGAGAAGGACGTGATCCTCCCTCCAACGGACACAAAGGCTTGCATGGGGCGCGATGATGCCTATTGCCAATACCACAAAAGGAAGGGGTATATTACCAAAACCTACTGGGCGCTTCAGATAGCCATCGAAGAATTGATCCAGCAGGGTCACTTGGGAAAGTATGTGAACAGGGACCCGAACGCTACAGGCCCCACTCAACATCAATATAAAAAGTCCAAAAGCTAGAGGAGGGACGATCAGTGAGACGCTGAACCAAGGAATGATGTGCACATACCGAACAATGAAACTGAAGGATCGGGGAATTCGGGAAAGAAGCCCATGATGGAGATCAAGGTGATTTTCAGTGGAAGTGAAACCGGGGATACAACGGCTGAGCGGAAAAGGTTCGAGCGCAGTCTGCTCGTGGCAGCCATTTCTAATCCACCACAAAAGAAGGCCAGGATTGAACCAGTCACGTTCAGTCCTGAGGACCTGCCTGCATCGCCAAGTCCGCACAGGAACAAGTCGGTGATAAGTATGTGTGTTGACAATGCCCTTATCCACCGAGTGTTGTTTGATACAAGGAGTAGTGTGAACGTTTTGTATTCACAAACGTTCAAGAAAATGAATCTGAGAAGGGACCAGTTGACACCTTTAAAGACACCGCTGACAAGTTTCACTGGAAACTGTATCGATGCAGAAGGAACCATTACGCTTCTGGTCAAGATCAGAGATGAGGCACACCAGGCAGGAGTACATATGACATTCGTGGTGGTAAATATAGAATGTACCCACAATGCCATACTGGGCCGACCAGGGTTGGAGGATTTGGAGTCAATTGCTTCAGTTTGGCACTCCTGCATCAAATTTCCAACTGACACCGGAGTTGGAGTGGCCCGAACAGACTCAGCTACAGCCCAAACGTGCTATCAGGAAGCAATGAAGAAAATTAACACCCATGGCATACGAGTTAACAACATCGAGGTAAAAGCTCGACGAACAGATTTCATAGCACTTCCCGAGCCAGCAACTTTGTTGGAGCATATTGAACTTGATTCACCCTCCGATCGGAAGGTGACAATTGGAGTAGATCTAGATCCAGAAATTAGAGAAGGGGTGATCACAGTGCTAAAAAGATTTTAAATACTATTCGCCCGAGGGCCGGAGGATATGCCGGGCATCGATCTAGAGATTATTTGTCACAAACTGGCCATTTGGCCTGATGCCAAACCAGTACAACAGAAGAAGAGGTATCAGGCGGCCGAACTGCGAGAGTTCACTAAGCAAGAGGTTGCCACCCTATTGAAGATCAAGCACACTCGACCGGTTATCCATGTGGAATGGTTGTCTAATGTGGTGCTTGCTCCAAAGGGACAGACTTGGAGGATGTGCGTTGATCATTCTGACCTAAACAAAGCCTGTCCTATGGACCCTTATCTGGTTCCCCGAATCGACCTACTGGTGGACGAAACTGCGGGATGCGAGTTATTGATTTTTATGAATGCCTTTCGGGGGTACCACCAGATTTTTATGCACCTGGATGATGCAGAGAAAATGACATTTGTCACCTCGGACAGTGTGTTCTGTTACATCGTAATGGCATTCGGACTGAAAAATGCCATGGCCACTTTCAAAAGAATGATCGGCATGTTGTTCAGAGAAGTTCCAGGGGTCACCATGGAAGCTTATGTGGATGACATCTTGATCAAGAGCAGGAGGAAGGAGGACCATGTTCGGGACATGGAAAAGGTTTTCGGGATCATGAGAAAAGAAAACGTGAGGCTGAATCCCAAGAAGTGTGACTTTGCAGTTAAAGGGGGAAAATTCTTGGGATACATGATGAGCGAACGAGGGATCGAGCCAAATCCAGAGAAGGTTAAAGCAATAATGGATATGGAGGCCCTAAGGAATCTGAATGAGGTGCAAAGGTTGACCGCTCGGTTAGCGGCTTTGAGCAGATTCCTCTCTAAGTTGGCTGATCAGGCGATCCCATTCTTTCAAATTATGAAGAAGGATAATCCGTTCGAGTGGACTACGGAATGTCAAACAACCTTTGAGGAATTCAAAACATATCTGTCTTCTCCCCTGGTCTTGACAAAGGCTGATCCAGGGGAACATTTGTACATGTATCTTGCAGTGGCCGATCTTGCCGTTAGCTCAGTACTATTGAAGGAGACTGATGGAGTTCAGCGACCAATCTATTTTGTCAGCAAGGCTCTGAACGGCCCCGAAACAAGGTACACCCTGATGAAGAAAACTATTCTGGCCTTGATAGCTGCTATCAAACGCCTGGCACCGTACTTTCAAGCCCATCCAGTTACGGTCTTCACCACTCAGCCGCTTGCTACCATCTTGAGGAATCCAATGGCCAGTGGCCGCATAACCAAATGGTCCCTCTTGATGGGCAATATGATGTGGAATTCAAGCCTCGGCCAAACATCCAGGGTCAGACATTGGCGGATTTCATTGCATTATGCACCGCTCGGCCTATGGAGGATGGCTCGAACAGTGATACCACCGACACTGATGGGAAATGTATGTGGATGGTGCTTCCAGTGCTAACGGTTGTGGAGGTGGAGCTGTCATCACCTCACCTGAAGGATTTAAGGTGTATTATTCTATCCATTTTGATTTTAAGGTTACTAATAATGAGGCCGAATATGAGGCCCTTATTGCAGGTCTGAAGTATGCCAAATCCCTAGGTGCCAAACGACTGAGAATCTGTTCTGATAGCCAACTGGTGGTTGGTCAGGTGAATGGAACCGCCAAAACAAAGGAGGTAAGGATGAAAGCCTACAAGGAACCGGTTGAGGAATAGATCAGCAAGTTCGAACAAGTGACGCTCGATTAGATTTCCAGAATAGAGAATGCAGAGGCAAATATTCTGTCAAAACTTGAGAATGCTGCACTGGACGATCGGGCCAAGCCACGACGGTCCTTCAGGTGGGGGCTATATCCTATGCCATTCCTAGTTGGGTCACAAACATGACCAACTACCTGAAGGATGAGACACTCCCAGCAGACAAGAATTCAACATATAACGCCAAATGCATTCAAAGGAGGACACCTATGTTTGAGTTGGTAGACGGACAACTTTACAAGAAGACGTTCGGGGGGCCTAACTTAAAATGCCTCCCGCCCGGTCTAGCAGCAGCCGTGATGGAGGTAATTCACGAGGGAATCTATTCAAGTCACCAGGGGACGAAAACACTCACCAGGAAAATCATCTTGCAGGGGTATTATTGGCCAACCATTCAGCAGGACTGCTTCGCTCACACCAGGAAGTGCAAAGTATGTCAACAATATGCCCCAGTGCCCGGACGGCCTGCCAGTTTTTACACACCAATGACCACACCACTGCCGTTCGCTAGCTGGGGGGTCGACTTGCTAGGGCCCCTACCTACAGCACCAATGGGGAAAAATAATCATTGTGGGGATTGACTACTTCACCAAATGGGTGGAGACCAAACCACTGGCCGAACCAGAATCACCGCCCGAGGTTTCATTAGAAGAATCGTCGGGGTAGGCATCTTCAGAACCACTATTAGAGGGGGCATCCTCGGCCACAGTCTCTGCAGCGGCGCTAGTGCCCGCAGAATCATCAACGGTGGCATTCGTCTCAGAACCCCAAAGAGGTTCGATGACCAAAGGATCAGAAGGACCAGAGCTCGTTGACATTTGCACGGAACCGAAAAAACTATAAAAGGGAAGAAGTAAACAAAGGACCGGTGGTTACCTGAGCGAACTTGGGAAATTAGGGATTTGGGAAAAGGCAGGGCTCTTGAACCAAGATGCAAAATTCGTAAACCCGGGACCAAGAGCCCAAAATCATACTTATAACCTAAAGGCACGGATTCGCGGACCAATCCCAGGAGGACACGTCACGAGGAGCGTCCCCAGAGACACGTGTCGCACGAAGGCGGAGCGTCAGGTAATCATGACGTTACCTTGGAAATACAAGCGACAACCGCCAAAAAATTTCGAAAGGTCACGACAAGAACGGATGGGAAATTAACCAAGAACGTCGCACAGGGTTACACCGAATGACAAGGAGATTACGTTTCTACTTCCTCATGTCCCGAGCATGCTCGAAAAATCGGAAGTGGGGGACTTGTGATGGGATATCAGGGTCCGGCCCAGTATACTGGCCCAAAATATCCCTGGGACCCAAGAGCAGGGGAAAAGCCCAAAGAGAAACAGGTGGCCCCGAACGAGAGTTCGGTGGATTAAGAGAGACCCCCGTTCGGCACATCCTGAACGGAGTATAATTAACACTTGGATAATTAGTTCTCTTCCGGATCATTAGCTTAACAGATCTTAATACCGATCACGGATTCGCTCAAGTGGCAGACTGCATTTAATGCTGGAGTATGGAGGTCTCAAGTGGGAGCATGTGTGTACAAGTGGCTTGGAAAGCGGCCAATCATGATAGATCACCCCATACCCCTCACCTACCCCCAACTAGTATAAATAGCAGCATTTATTCCATCATAAAGGGTTAGCATTTGTTTACTCACTAGCTTATATTACATTCTAGCTCTTGTATTAGCTGTTGGACCGTAACGGCCGTTCGGCCATTTACTTGTAATCGTAAATACTGCGTTAATACAATCAAAGCTATTTGAGTAAATCAATCAGTTTTTATCTATCTTTATACTCTTTACTGTAACCACCCTACCCTAGATCCAAGGTTGGTGTTGGGCCTTCGGGTCATTCGGGACTTTAACTCAACACTTATCTAATCATTTTCATTGAATTTCTACAGATAAATATGATTAATTAGTCTTCATGATCCTCAAGTTAAATAATCTCTTCCAATGTAGATTTGCTAATTATGATTTCACCACAACATCATCTACATTAATGGTCTGTTTGTTTGGGAGTTAACCTATGTTATTGGAGGTTCAATTTTTAGTTAACTTCGTTTGTTTGTGTTTTTGCAACAAGAACCTAGGTTATGAGTTAACCTCACATAACATCCGAGAACCTGAAAAAACCTTAAATTGAAGAACCTCCGAAGTGAGGGGTTTTGGATGTTAAGTTCTCGTTTAACATAAAATGAGCTAGAGTACCTCTATTCAAACAACATTTATTACTATAACCTAGGTTAACTTATTTATTTTCAAACACTATTTTACCCATGAACCTAGGTTCACCTAGTTTTATTAAAACTCAGGTTTACTATATTGCACTAGGTTTATTTAAGTTCACTTTACCCAAACAGAACATAAGTTTCACACAACTATATCTCTTGCCTATCATTTTATTTATTCTTTGAGAGGACTGATTATGCAGGGTTACAAATACATGAATCAATAATCTTACAAATGATAAAATCATGAATTCATGAAAATATAAAAACACAAAATTTCAAGAGTTCACTACGATACTTGATAAATCTGCTGCAATGCAAAGAAATGACCCTTAATTTAGTAAGTTTGAATGATATATTTATTCATCATACCTAAGGTGCATTTGATAGGCAGGTAAGGTGCATGACTGTTATTGACCATCAAATTAATTATTTATATAATTAATAAATATATTTTTCATAAAAATGAGAGATCGTGGAGAAAAAAAGTACGACAGTAGTAAATAATAATGGCTTAAATAAAATTTAATAAACGCCATTTTCCCTCTTTCGTGGTAGTGTGTGCAACTCGAATGCTTGAGCGTGAAGATAGAAAATTCATACCCCAACCGAGAGAGCCCAAAATCGTCTTCTCGTCGTCGGCGCCATGTCCTCTGAGCCTCAGCCCATTACCACTCCTCATACCGTTTCGCCTCAAACCTCTTCCTCTTTCACCAAAGACGGCTTTGTCGCCGTCGTCGACGGCTCTCCGGTATCCAAAGCCATGTCCGAAGACGAACTCGAGGCCACTCCCACCTCCATAAACAACTCTCACTCTCCATCCCCGGCTCCCTCTTCGCCGGCCACCAACGACCAAGCTCTTGTTCCGTTCCAGTCTAATCCCCCTCCAACGGCGGCACGGACGCCGGTTTTTCCGGCCAGGGAGGACTGCTGGTCGGAGGCCGCGACTCACACGCTGATCGAGGCCTGGGGGGCTCATTACCTGGAGTTGAATCGGGGAAATCTACGGCGGCAGCACTGGATGGAGGTTGCCGACGCCGTTAACTCCCTCCACGGCAACACAAAGAAGCAGCACCGCACCGACATACAGTGCAAGAACCGCATCGACACCTTGAAGAAGAAGTACAAGACCGAGAGGGCTAGGGTTTCTCAATCGCGAGCGAATTACGTTTCATCCTGGCCCTTCTTCAGTAGTCTTGACGCCCTCATTGGAGACCACTTCAAGCCTTCTACTTCGCCGGCGACCTCTGCTCCGCAGCGTAAAACTCGCCTGACGCTTCCTCCCCCACCGTCAGCAGTTCCGGTCGGCCCCAGGTCAAAGCGTCCGTCATCAATCGATGACTCGGTTTCCCGGCGGAATTTCTCGGCGATGGCGGCGGCGGCGGCCGCTGCCACGGAAGACTCGTACGAGAACGATGAATCTGATACGTCGGCACCTCCGCCGGCGCCGGCGATTACTGGTCGGAGGAAGAGGAGAGATTCAGGTGTGGAGTTGGAGGGATATAGGTGTTTAGCAGAAGCAATTGGGAAGTTCGGTGAGATATACAAGAGAGTGGAAGAGGCGAAAATTAGGCAGATGGTGGATTTAGAGAAGCAGAGAATGCAATTTGCCAAAGACTTGGAACTTCAAAGAATGAAGCTCATTATGGAATCGCAAGTACAATTGGAAAAACTGAAACGTCCCAAGCTCAACTCACATGCTGGTTAGTGAGCGCGCTCTTCATTTGTTCAGGTTTCTCCCTGGAATTTCTGTTTCTTCCGTTCTCATGTTATTATATTAGAATGTGAATGAAGAAACAGGGTGCCCTTTATCTATGGTTTGTTAAGTAGAATCCTCAGCTACCAACATATCACTATCAGTTTAAAAGCTAGTTAGTTTCCTGGGCATCTTGGTGTTTCTTATTCAAGCACACTAGATGAGTAGATGGTTCATGGTAGCTATTTGCATCCTATTTTAAGAAATCTTCAGATGTATATCTAGTTTAGTAGTGCCCAAGTTACTCCATCTTATTTTGATAATTTGATTTCGTTTCTTAAGTTGGGGCTTTTTTTTATTTCTGTAGGGGGAAGGAAAATGTGAATATCTGTCAATATAGTTCATTAGTCAAATAAAGCTATTAAAATATTTATTATCATTTGAGCTAGATGATCGTTATGGTTTATGAACAAATATAATTGAAGGAGATGACAGGTTTCAGAACTCAGAAGTACACAAACCAATCCTCTCATTACATATCAGAATACCATAATGCTCCAGCACTTCTATGATATATTTTAGGTAGAGTAGAAATTGAGATGCTCTCTGTTTCCAGATGTCAGTTGTTATTTTTTGTTTTGGTTACTGCTATGAGATCAACATTTCATATTCTGGATTT